GAACAGTAATAACAGTAGTAATGGTGTAAAGACAAATTCGCGTAAAATATTTACTCATCTATAGTTTCACTTTTTCCTTTGAATAGTTTTTAGAACAATATTACTCTATCTTTTGGTTGATAACGCGCAGCTCGTTTGAGTCTGCTAATATCTCTTTTCTGTTAATTTACAGAATAAAAATGGTTCAAGTATAAACAATTCCATCATTGAGAGAGAAAAAAGAAGAAGAGAGAGAACAATGACTGGATCATCTTGATGTTGTTGTCCCATCTTTTCAAAACTCGTGTGTTTTACATTTACAAAAAAATGAGCTGTCAATTGAATACAAAAATAAGACCACACACCTCTCTTCAAATTCCAATAATCGAATCTTCTAATCAAGAAAAATCAAGAAAAATCAAGAAAAATCAAGTTGCTTCTGCGTGTCTACTCTTTGGGAGACGAGCAAGATGTAAAAATTCTTTCTTCGAGTTGTTTAAATGATCTTACAACGCTAGATGATAAATCAAATAAAACAATCTTGTAATTTTCTGATGTTTATAAGTTAACAAAGTGAGAGAGTATCGGAGAGAATTGGAGTCACACTTTTTTGTTTTTTTCTTTTTTTGTCAACGTTCAAAGTTCAAAGGTCGAGATACATGATCTGTGTGGCAGAAACGGCCCCGCAGGCAGCGAGGGTGCTTGCCACGCATACAACGGCCGTAGTGGTACCAGATTTGCTGACGATCGTGCCCAGACAGCAGGAGAGGAGAAACTGCGCCAGAAACACCATGGAGGAGACGATCGCAACGTCTGTGCCGAGACCGCGTACTCCTAAGCTTTGAACGGCTTCACCCTCGGCTGTCACCTCAAACTGCAAAGTCGACTAATTAAATTTCTGTCTTCGATCTGTCGCCTGTTACGTTACGTTACGCTGTTTAATGGCACAAATAAAATTATTCTTGTCACTCGTTTGTGAAGAAAGAGAAAATAATCGCAATAGTATCTCTCTCTCTCTCTCTCTCTCTCTCTCTTTCACTCTCTCTAGTTTTTTAATAATCAAAGTGAGATGGTTTTCTTCGAGAAGCTCAGTCTTAGTCAAGATGCAGGATAGCATCATCACTCACCGTGGACGAGGCGTGATAATGTGCAACTAGAAGATACGGCATGGTAAATAACGTAGAGTACATAACACCCGCGGTCCAAGAGAATATGATCACTCCCGCGGGATGTTTCGTCAGCGCCATCATCATCATACCAGTGCTATAGAACAGTAGGCCGCAAATGTACACCCTCCGAGCTCTGTCGAGTCGCATGAAATAAATTTATACGCCTGACTACATCTTTCAATTAGAAAAACTGAATGTTTTCGATTTGCGCTATGTTTTATCTAATAATGTAGATTGGGATAGCTCAGTCGGTAAAGCATCAGACTCTTAATCTGAGGGTCCACGGTTCGAGCCCCCTGTTTGGGCGAAAAAGAAAAAAAAAACATTGTTCTTTAGGACAATAGCACAAGAGAGCTCTGTGTGTGTATAAAAAGGTCCCGGAGCTCTCCGAACGTGTCATTCGTGCCATCGTGAAGGTTTTAGTCGGTAAGAACTAAACACCGACACTACTTGGGTCTTGCCTTAAAAGATTCAGGTGTCTTATGAAGATTTCCTCCACGTAAAAAAAAAGAAGAAAAAAAAAAGAATGTTTTATCTAATAATAAGAATTTAAACGAAAGACGCGATAAAAGTCTTTCAACGCGCGATTGTCTTAAATAAATTGTCTTAAATAAAGAAGAAATTAAGAGTCTCGAAGAAAGAAGAGAAACGAAAGGAGGAGTGCGAGTGCTGAAAACTAGGTCAGAAATTTAATTTTCCAAACTTTTGGGAAACGATTTTGAACGATTTAGTGGAGAAAGTTAAATTACCAACCGAAGGATAAAGTGGAAATTGACTTTCCGACAGAGAGACGCGTGACACTACGTGAAATGAAAATGATAATTCTCTTGAAAGAAAAGAAGGAGAGAATGATGTTGTTGATGTTTACCTGTAGCGTTCAATGAGCTTTTCAATGATCAGCGAGTAACAAGAACAGGACAACGAGTACATGGACATTCCCCAACATCCAAAACGAACTCCGCTTTCGTACAGTTCTCTCTCTTTGCTGCCTTCCGGAGCCTGTAACGTTTCCAAATGAAACATTATATATACTCAACTGTGTAAAAGTGTATAAAAATGCTCGGTTACTCGAGACTGATCGGATACGAGATCGAGGTACCTGTGGATTTCCACCGTAAACAGCCTCGCCAACAAAGTCGGTAAAGTACAGGGAATAACACACGTGTGCCATCCAACAGAACAAATTAGTCAGGCACACCATACGAAGACTGTGCGGCATATACACGATGGAAAGAAGATATTCCCTCAGCGAGACTTTCGGATTCGACGCTTCGACGCTTTCGTCGAAACATTGTTCGACGTGACTGACGTTTTCGGCGGGTACATCTGGCACCATGGGCACGTGACCGGCTCTTTTCTCCGGAAGTTGTTGGACCGGAAGAGGTTTGAGGACAAACTCCTTGACCAGAGAAAGAAGAGAAAATTTGTAAAATCTTTTATACCTCGTAAAAACAATATGTGTGTGTGTGTGTGTGTGTGTGTGTGTGTGTGTGT